AGAAAGTGACTTGGCCACTGGGGGCTTGAAATCCTTTGGGAATACATGTGATTTGAAAGGTTTATGTCAGAATTGTCATGTATCTTTGAGATGTCATTAGCTCTTTCACATACATAATTTTTAAGAAAAGTAAAGCTCTCCCAATACATGCCATGGAGGCAAATGGGGCAGAGGAGATACAGCTGCTGCTAATCCTTGACCTCAACACTAGATGGGGGTGAGTAGTCAGCATCATCATACCCCAGCTCTGCTTTACCCTTAAATAAATGACTTGTGGTACCCATTGGGCAGGGGCCCCAGAGCTAGTCTGCACTCTGAGGCCAAAAGAGAAATCCTTTGCCCCTGCTGGGGATTGAAACCCAGTCATTCAGTCTATAGACAGCAGTCTCATTATCAGTATTTTTATCTTTCTTTTCTATCACCATTCTTACATCTTTGTTGTGTTAGCATTAGTTAATCTTAAATTTAACTTTGCACTTAGCAGAGAAATTATTCAGAAGGCAGTGGTTCTGATACATTGGTTCTCAACCTTTTGGTTCTTGCAGCATACTTGGGATACTCTTTTTTATTGTGGTACACTAGAATAAAAACTGAGAACTAAAATTTACAAAAGGTACACAAATTTTAAAGTAATGTAAAATTATCACAAATCAAAGATGATGAACTTTAACTTATCACTAAAATATGCTCAATTACAAATAACAATGTTATTTCATTTTTTTAACTTGCATATTTAGTAATTTTATACATTTATTGTATTCAGATCCTTGCATCTCACTTGGTAAAAGCTCATGGCACACCAGTTGAGAACCTGATATGATACATGAAGTTCACTGAACGTAAAGACAGGAGAAACAGTTGACAACTTTAGATACAGCCATGGTAGAAGTAGTAGTGTGAATTCATGCACAGTTCCTCTCTCCTACAGGTTGATATAACACAGGATGTGACTGTCTTTCCCCTGTGTTCAAACCACATTATCATAGATCTGTGTCTTCCCTGAAAATTAGTTTCTATTCCATGCATGTGTATGAGATATTAATGTTTGTTGGTGCATTTGCAACTCTGCATATTGCTGATGATGTACACATAAATGCATGTTCTTTAAAGTGTCTGTTATTGTTGTCAGTTTTAATCCAAAATTCTAGTTTAATATCCAATATCAAATTTCATGATACTGTGTTTAGAGTTCTGGAGTTACTACATACAGAGGATAGACATCACGAAACTTGGTGCCCTTGAAGTTATTGCTAGTGTTCTAACCCAACCAGACATAACCTAACCTAACCTATGTATGTTGCTCCATAGTGCTGCAGCAAAAGTGTGTTTGGGAGAAGTCCATTCTTTATCACTTTGGCCATCGTTTTCTGCATCTCTTGATTTACATTTAAGGAGATTGGTTTTGGCTGGTTCTGTAACTTTCTATGGATGTACCTTGTACAGGTGTCTGCCATCATACCAAAGACAACATGAACAGATGCCACAGTGCAGACAAATAAATAGACCAAAGAATAACAATGAAATCATTCTGAACTGACATTTTTTCAGAATTAGTTACATTGTTTAATGTTAGACTCCACAATAGCAATGCATTGTTTTCTAATTCATCAGATTTCAATAGAAGTGTCACCCAAATTTTGTGTGGATGGCTGAAATTTACTCTAACTGTTATGTACAAGTATCTGTAGAGAGTAACACAAATTTCGTGTACATTGTTTGGAAATGTTAATAGAATGTGAATGTGAAAATATTGATGCAGTAATTGTATCTGCCTTATATAATTCTAAAGGAATTAATTTATTTGGACTGATGTGTAAAGTCTAATGGTTTGTTATAAGCAGCATTTAATCTCATGCAGGCAATAAAATTATGACTGTTTCAGAACAAATTTTGAACACTCCATCAGCAGTCAAACAACTGCAGAGTGCATGTCTGTAATCGTTCTATGTATTGCATAAAAGAAGCAAGTTTATGTCCTGGAAATTGTGATGTCAACTGTTTAAGTCTTGTTTCCTCCAGTTATCTCAATTTACACTGTACAGACTGAGCATATCATGAAACACATTTCTGATGTGAGTGTGAAGCCAGATGTAATATATTTCTGTTTATTTGTAGTAAGCTTTACATTCAGGTTATAAATGTATTCATAAATACTAACAAATCCATCTTTTTGTCATTGTTGGAGTTAAGACTAGGTGAATATGTACAGAGTTGTCTCAAATATGTATTACCTCATGAAGTTGTTAATTCAAGCAACACATTCAACATATTCAAAAGTAATTAATATATAATTTGTAGAAGTTAGTTAATTTGGTGATGAACCTTCAGGTTCCCTAAGCTATGTAGTTAGTTAGAATTAATTTAGACAGCCAAATAGACTCTATTTTAAATTCACAACAGTTAACATTTATAACCAATTTTTTTTTAGAAAATTATGAATGTGATAGTGCTGGTTATGTACAGAAAATTGTATGGTAATTATCTAAAAAATATTTAGTTTCATGTCAGCTTCATGCACATTAGATTACTTATTTTACTAATTCTGACCAAAATTAAAACTGCTCAGAAGTTTTAGAAAAACCTCAATTACAAAATAATTAAAATATTGCAAAGTAGAACAAATGTGAACAGATGGATGGTCACAAATTCTGCATTTGATACATTGTGCAAGGAATGCATATAAAAATGGCCTGCAACCTTTACAAAATTGAGTTATTATAAGGACTGTATGAATGTCAGATATTTGGTAACTGTGACAATGCAGTGAGTTGCAACTCCACAAAAGACCTACCTGTGAAGAATATAATATTTGTTGATTTTTTATGGTTCTGAAGATACAGTCTGCCACAAGTTTCAGTTACAGGCACCACTGTTATAGCTGTGAAGTGCAACTTCGGTAATTCTGGTGATTCAGGAAGACAGTTTTATCATTGGTGATTCTTTGGTCATCACTGTAACATATGTCTTATGGTGACAACCTATGAACATAAGATTCTTTCCTTTATTACATACTTATTACATTATAATTTATGCATGGAAGAGTATGAGTTCTTCCAAGATCATATTTCTTTCTGTCTGTTACTCATGTCTCTATGATATTATTGGATATTTTTTATATAGGAGTATAAAGTGTATACAATGCACAGTCCTAGCAGTCAAGAACAAACAGTTAGGAACTCATCAGTATCTGAGAATTATGAGATTTCTCAATTTCAGTTTAGTTAGCAATTTAGTTAGCAAAAAGTGACTTGAATGAATGGAAAAGACAGCTATAGAATTTGAACACCTATAGGTTTTATAATTTAGTTTTACTGGCTTAAAAATGAACTTCTTGATATTTTTGTATTTTCCAGAGCTAAATTTTTAAAGGTTACTGTTTCAAGCTTGGATAAAACACAAGAAATTCAAGCCAAGGTTGGACCTGCCATTTGATTCAGTTGTGACAGACTGGTTAAACCATTCTTAAAGGAAGAATGGATGGAAGGAAAAGTGCAGGGCATTTCTTGCTTTCAACTGTCAAAAGTCTACATTGTTAGAAGCCAGCCAATCAGAGATGTTCTCTGAGGGGTGACGCCTCATAAGTAGAAGGGACTGACTAAAATCTGCTAGTGAGTTGTGAGGAATTTTAAATCAAATCAGAAACTGAGAAGGGTGTTTTAGAAGCTGTGGTCTTCCAAGATTATTAAAATTACACATGCTTGGATTATTATTATTATTATTAGTGTTCTGTCTGATGACAGGTCCATATATTATGAACAGGATCCTTCCATCCTCTTCAGGTTGTCAGGGACCTGCTCATACATATATACATTCTTGGCAGATGATCAGAAGTGGTTTGCCATTGTCTTCCTGTGTGTGTGAGTGGAGTAATTGTTGGGATGCCACGGAGAAACCGGAGAAGGAGGAAAACTCCGTGATGCCTAGACCACGGCCTTGCCCAACACAAGTTATAAATCTGAGCACCACTGGGAATTGAACCCGGGACCCCAGGATTACAAGGCTAGTGTTCTGACCGCTAGACCACCGTGGCGGCAGTGGATACCAGTTATTAAACAGAGGAGATGTGTCTTCATAAATGAATCAAATTTATGACTAGAAAAGAATTTTGGAACCAACTTTAAGAAATTAAATTATATAAATAGTTTATAAACAATTAAGTGAGGCAAGAGTTAAAAATTTGGGTCAAGTTAATTTGAGGTATTTGAAGTTGCAGTACATCAAGCATTATGAACATTTAGTTGTATTTCTGGCAAATTATGAGGGTGTGTTGTATGGTGAAATATATGACTTCTAGTTGTGATAGTTAACAGGCATGTGTATACAGTTTTAAGAGACATTCTAGTAAGAAACCTGGTTATAATTCATTAGGGACCAGATTTGACAATACCTCTACTTCTCATCCAAACCACATTTTACCCTGAAATAGCACATCCATCGTTGACATTAACTAACCTACTCCTGTAATATTAAAGGTGAGGAAGACTGCATACAAGGCTGGATATCATTTACATGACATTCAAAGTGGCAACAACAACCAAGGTAATATGGGTTCAAATTGTTTTTTAATCCTAAGAAAAAAGTACAAAAATATACCTTTGTATAGTTAAGGACTAGCTGGTCATATGCTCACATAGTCAAGGTATTCTCTTCTCTTTATGGAAATGATTTATTGTCTAGTTTGTTGTAGCTTACAGCCAGTCCCTACCATGCACCAGATCCTTCCAACCCACATTTTAATTCCCTAAAATATATTTTCACTCCCATACAAATCAGCAGCTAAAATTGTAGTGTTCTATATTTTAATCTTTGCCACTTTACATGGAAAAATGAGTCCGTGGGACAAAACTGTCTCAAAAATACAGAAGCACCTATAATAATGTCTTCTCCTTCCCCTCCTCCTCTTCTTCATCATCATCATCATTTCGTTCTCGTTTGGTCGTCAAAATATTCTTTGACTCTCCCTCTTAGCTGCAAGGTTACATGCTTAGGTAGTCACGCTTCGTTGTGTGGTGTTGAAAGTGACTTGAATAGTAATAAAATACAGATTTGTGTTTATTGTCGATGGTTTTCATTGTAATATAGCGTGGCAGGTGTGACACAGATTACAGTTGAAGTGACGCTTAAAATGTCAGTTGAGAATTTGTGTAACTATGAATCGTGTTTGCGCAGTCCCATACAGCATTAAATACTCTATGTCTTTATTTGTGGTGTAGAAGATACCAGTCTTACAGTGTGCATTATGATAAAACAATATGAAACATTTTATTATCAAGGGTTATTTCTGCTGGTACACATTGAATCACGGATTAGAATACGAAGTTGCTCACAGAACATTCTTGAACAGTTGGCACAATGAAGACACGGAGAGGACTAATAACTTTCAGCACTGGATGGACATGATGGAATTTTGTTCCATTGATGTGTACTTTTTACGGAAGGAAAGATAAAGGTGAGTTTGAAGTCAGATTCAATGTTTTTGTGTTTATTTTCTACTAGGCTTATGTTGACGTGAAGGATGCTGCTGTATGTAGGCCTACACAAAATCGCTTTTCGTGTTTGAAATTCACAGGAGGCGTATGTGTGCAGAATTCTCTCTGTTCCATCATAGTCTGTATTTGATCTTGGGATATGAATTCAAGCAACACACCTTGAAATGTGGGAAGAGACTAACAGGTTATACAAAAATTTTCTTTCAAAGCATCGTTTTTATAGAAAGTAATGATTACGACACTGCAGTGTAAAGCGTTCTGTGTAATAATTAATGTTAAGGACTTTGAAGTTGAGGCAAGCATCAGTTTTTTTAAACTTATGAAGGCAATATAAATTTATCTGTGATGCTTAAGTAATACCATGCTATGAAGACGCGGTGGAATTGAGGTATAGCTTCATTATATAATTGGCTAATGCAACACAGCTTTTGTAAACACTAGGACTCGATCATGACTTTAATGAAACACCTTACCAAGCTGATATTTGAGATCCTCAAGTAGAAGTTACAGAGGAACTTGTTCTTTCATTATGCCGGAGGCTTTTCTGCTAATGACAAGACACAATTCACTTTATAGAAACACATGAAAGTTGTCAGAAAACATAACCAATCATACCTGTTTGGAAAACTTTGTTATCGCATACTGAATGGTGTTCCTTCCACCTCACAATTCCTCAAAGAATCAATAACTAACTAACTAACCAAAGCCCTCCACCGGACCTTGCCCTGGGCAATTTTCTCCATTCCCCATCATCTTCTCTCCTAGGCTCAAATATCCTTTTGAACACTCTATTCTCAAACACCTGCAATCTTTGTTTCTCCCTCAGATTGATAGACTATGTTTCACACCCATACAAAACAACAATCAAAATTATTATTTTATATATTTTAATTTTCAGGTTCTTAGAAAGCAGACAGGAAGACACAATATTTTGAACTTGAAGTAGCAAGAACTTTCGGAATTTAGTCTCATCCTAATTTCTTAATGAATATCATTTTGGTTTGTTATTGTTGTTCCCATATTTTTGAACTTTGTCAAACTTTCAAAGGATTTATTATCCACCCTAATATGATTTTGCCCGCCTGTCTGCCGATGGGATACTATCATGTACTTTGTTTTTTCTGAATTTACTTCTATCCCCATCTATCTACTAGCCTCTAGTAAAATTTCTGTGTTCCTCTTTATTGTATTCATATCGTCTCCCAATAAATTAACATCATCAGCATATGCCAATAGCTGATGTATCCCATTCATTTGCAAACCCTCCTGCCTATCTTGGACTTTCCTGATGGCATATTCAAGCACAAAGTCGAAGAGCAATGTAGACAAAGGATCTCCTTGTTTCAGACTGTTCTTGATGTAAAATAAATCAGATAACTATTTACCTATATGAATTTTGCTGCAGGTTTCATTTAGGCACATTTTTATTAGACTCACTAGCTTCTTTGGTATATCATATTCAATAAGAATATGGTATAGGCTTTTTGAAATCTATAAACTGTACTCTCACATTTTCTGTAGTATCTGATGGGTGCAAAAGATCTGATCAGTCCTTGATCTGTTACATCTGAAACCACACAGATTATCACCAACAATTATATACACATTTAGAGTTAATCTTGCCAGAAGAATGTTTAATATAATAATTTTGTATGAGGCTAATAGGAGAGAAATTCCTCGGTAATTACCACACTCAGTCTTGTCCCCCTTCTTATGAATAGGAATAATTATAGATTCCTTCCTTTGTTGTGGCATCTTTTCCTTATCCCAAATTAACTGAATAAGCTTATAGGTCTTCATATGCAACCCTTTGCCACCTTCTGTAATTAATTCTGCTGGAATTTAATCACTACCTAGAGATTTATAACTTTTCAACTTTCCAATGGGTAGTTCAGCTTCATCTAAACTAGGTTCTGGCATTAACAGTTCAGCTGTATGTATCTTAATCTGTCTAACATCATCTGTCTCATAAACATTTGAGAGCTGGTCAAACAATTTTTTCCACCAATTCAACATTTTGATTAGATTTGCAAATAAATTGCCATTATCATCCATTACCATATTAGTCTGAGGTTGATATTCTTTCTTAAAATTATTTATGTCTCTTTACAGATTTCTGATATTTTTTTTCTTACTATTTATCTCAAGCTCATTAATTTTGGCTTTCAGATATTCCCTTTTTTATTCCTAAAGATTCTACTAGCTTCATGTCTTACATTACATAGATTATTCATATTTGTTTTGTTTGGGTCCTGCAACCATTGAAATCTTGTTTGCTTTCTTTGATCTATTAATTCTGAACATTCTTCATCAAACTATGGTTTATTATGCTTTCTCCTGTAGTATCCAAGGTTCTCTTTGGATGAAAGTTTGGTACAGTCTCTGACTTTTTCCCATTTTCTGTTGATATCCATGTTTTCATAATTTTATCTGTCTCTAAAATTTGAAACCTATTCGAAATTTTAACTTCATATTATTTCTTTACCTCTCCCTCATTTAATTTTTTGAAATCTGTGTCAAAATTTTGCTTAGTTCGTCAATCTACTGAAAGCCTCTCCCTCAGTTTTGCCACTATCAGATAATGATCAGTGTCACAATCAAAATGATACTCGTGAGGAAGTTAGAAGGAGGCTAAATTCCGGAAATGCTTGCTACTTCTCAGATCAAAATATTTTGTCTTCCCATCTGAGTCCTAAGAACCTGAAAATTAAAATATACAAAACAATAATTTTACTGTTGTTTTGTATGGGTGTGAAACATGGTCTCTCACTCAGAGGGAGGAACACAGATTGCAGGTGTTTGGGAATAGGGTGTTGAGGAGGATATTTGGGCCTAAGAGAGAAGATGATGGGGCATGGAGAAAACTGCATAATAATGAGCTTAAAAATCTGTACTCCTCCCCCAATATTGTCAGGGTGATTAAGTCGAGAAGAATGAGATGGGCGGGGCATGTGGCATGTATGGATGGGACAAGAGGTGTGCACCGGGTATTGGTTGGGAAGCTTGAGGGGAAGAGACCGCTGGGGAGACCTAGACGTAGATGGGAGGAAACTCTCAGGCAGGATCTGTGGGAGGTAGGAGTTGAAGGCAATTGGATTTTTCTGGCCCAGGACAGGGACTGGTGAAGGGCTTCAGTTAATTTGGTGATGAACCTACTGGTTCCCTGAGCCATCCATACTGTGCTACCATATGGAGTTGCCCAAGTGTATTTATGAATATTATGATGTGACAATTTTTGACTCTTTACAATTAGATATTTTGACATAGAAAAGTGTGTTGCTCTAACACCAGTGTCATTTCTAATTTCATGTAGACTCTTGTTACCTATTGTTAGTTTGAAAATATCTTTTATCTCAATTTTTGCATTGAAATCTCCTAGCAGAAATTTTATGTGATAATTGACAAATGTATCAAATACTGAATCTACTTTTTGATAAAAGCTATCATTTGTTTCATCATTTTTGTCCTCAGTAGGGGCTTGAATATTAAGGGCAATAATATCTCACCAACGTCCTGCCAGAATTATGTAAGAATACCTGTCACAAACAAATTTTGCTCTCTTAACTGCTGCCCTAATTCTGCTATGAACAAATAAACCTGTCCCTAAGTGATGATTATCATTCCAGCTTTCATAGAAAAATGTGGAATATTCCATTGGGATCACACCTTCCCCTCCTCCTTCCATCGCACCTCCTGCACTGCCACTAAATATAACTTAAAATTCTCTTAATTCCCTACTCACTGATTTCAGTGCCCCTGCCATTTAGAGACTCCTAACACTTCAAGTTCAGAAACTCAAATCCTTTTTTTAATAGCCTTGGTCATCCCTCCGGTTTCAAGGGTTGGTATAATTTTTCATAACTATACAGTTTGTTTACGGCCAAAAGTTGTTGGCCTCACGCCCATCTCCCAAGCTGGAGGACCACCCCTTGTCAGCTGTATGCGACTGCTTATTCAATATATTCGCAGCTAACCTCCATAAGTGGAGGCTGTTCCTTTTTCTGCAACCTGAGGATGTGCCATGCCGTGGTTGAAAGTGTCACAAAGTCCAAATATTTGGGTACAACAATAACAAACCAGAATGTTATTTATGAGGAAATTAGGAGGAGACTAAATTCTGGAAGTGTTTGCTACTTTTCATTCCAAAATATTTTGTTTTCCCATGTGATTTCTTGGAACCTAAACATTAAAGTATACAAAACAATAATTTTGCCTGTTGTTTTGTGTGGATGCGAATACGGTCTCTCACTCTGAAGTAGGAACATAGAATGCAGGTGTTTGACAATAGAGTGTTGAGGAGGATATTCGGGCCTAGGAGAGAAGAGGATGGGGTATGGAGAAAACTGCATAATGATGAGCTTAAAAATTTATACTCCTTCCCCAATATTGTCAGGGTGATTAAGTCAAGAAGATGGGCATGGCGCATGGATGGGTCAGGAGGGTAAGAGGTGTCCACCAGGTATTGGTTGGGAAGCCTAAGGGGAAGAGACCGCTGGGGAGACCTAGACGTAGATGGGAGGAAAATCTCAGGCAGGATCTATGGGAGGTAGGAGTTGAAGGCGATTGGATTTTTCTGGCCCAGTACAGGGACTGGTGAAGGGCTTCGGTTAATTTGGTGATGAACCTTCTGGTTCCCTAAGCCATCTAGTTTGTTAGTTACGTTTAGTTTGGTGCAACTTTATGTTATGCAGGATTTTAATGGCGTTTTGCAACTGTATGTATGAAGATAATATACTTGATTTGAATCTCTTAACACTAAATTTAAGACTCAAATTTATGCCATTTTATTGTTAATTCTGTTAAAGGTGCTCATCCACTTTGGATTGTCATAATGCGCATACCCAATAGGTTAAATCAGAGATTACTTTGCTTGTACTGCACTTCGTAATTTGAAGGTCACTGCCTCAGCCAAATGTGTTTCTGCTGTCAACGCCATCTATAGGAGCTTTTCCTTAATGGGGCATTCTTTTGGCTTCTCAGCTGTTGTAAAGGACATTTAATTGAATTATTATTCTTAGAATTTTTATGAGACTTTAGCTCAGGGCTGTGGAGTCGGTAAAAATGTACCGACCTAGACATAAAATCTTCAGATTTCATATTTAAATAATGTTATACTGGGAACGACCCGTTCTTCAAGTGCCTGAGCACTGCGTGTCCCAACTTTTCGTTGGCTTGATCTATAGACATTCGACAGGACTCCTTGGACGAGGAATCGGCCCTTCTCAAGGCTTCTACCTGTACACAGGACAGCACAACACAGAAAAACGCGGACAAACATCCATGGCTTGAACCCATGGTCCCAGCGACCAAGCGGAGGAAGGCCCACGCCTCAGACCGCGCGGCCACTGCAGACCCCGTATATTTAAATATAGGTTATAAGTCTAAAAAGTAGCCTGATGAAATCGCTTGTGGTGCCATTTACCATTTTAGTAGGTTTACCATTATTAATACATATTGAGCTTTTATGAAGGAGTAGGAGTCGGAGATTTTAGTACTGACTCCACAGCCCTGCTTTAGCGTTATGGTGCTTTTTTGTTTGGGGGTTTCCTAAAGACCTGATTTGTAGACGAGAATTTGCCATTGTGATGTTCATTGTTTTTGTATTAATTAAATTGTTCACGCTCAGTTGAAAATATAAATAGTATTTAATTTTCTAGCAATTATTACGTCTAATACTTTCACAGCTACAGAGTAAAATCTTGGTTCCAGGAGAACAGCGATCATAATAGTGTGACAAAGGTATGAAAACAGCTGAGAGCTACTGGAGTACTCTGCGTGGTGGTGCGACTGCTGTAGCAGGTACAGTGTCACCATCTACTGGTCGCTGTAAGAACAAAGAATAAAGACCAGTTTCACCGAAAGGTAGGGAAGCGAGAACATTTTGTTTTACCACAGAACCATGACTAGGTAGCCAACCGTCTCATATACAAATGGAGAAATCTGCAGAATTTGTGGCAATCTACCTCAGATTATTGCTGCTAATGCCCGGGAAACTGAAGAGGGCCCTAAATACATCGAAATTCAGGCTGAGACAGATTTTAAAGCATTTAAAAATTACTTAATGTGTACTTGATTTGAGAATTGGTCCCTGTGTATGGCCTTCCTTTTTGGTCCCTGTACTCCAAGAGCTTGAAGATCTTGTTCTACACTTTCCAGCCACCTAGAAAAAAACTTCCTCTCTTTCTTGTTCCTTCTATATTGGTAAATGTTACTTTCTTGCTTGGGTGTGCTTCACTGGCTCTATACAGGTGTCCCAGCAACTTTATTCTTCCTGTCTTTATTACTTTAATTACAATATATAAATGGTATAATTCATCATTATATCTGATTCGCCAGTTTCCCCCTTCATTCTTTGGACCGTATATTTTCCTTAAGATTTTCCTTTCGAATACTCTGAATTTGTTCTCATGTAATTCGTCAGAGCCCAGCTTTCACTCCCATAGAGCAACAAAGGTCGTAGAAGTGTCTTGTATAGTTTGCATTTTGTCTTAAGGGTGAGGAGCCTGGATCTTGTGGGTTATCGGGACACATCGCTTTACAAATAGGTTAGGTTAGGTTAGCTTAATGCGTGTGGATAAATGACATATACTTGAAAGTTATTATATTTTATTTCAATAAATAACAAATTATATTAATGCCCAAATTTTTTAAATTCGTTTACTTTTCCAAACTTGTAATTATTTACTTTCAAGCATTGCATATTGGTTGGTCTGTGATATTTCCATGTATTTTGTCTTACTTTCATTAATCATCATTACGTGCTCTACAACCCAGATCGGGTCCTGGCTTCCACTAGAAATCTCCTCCACTTCATTCTATCCCGGGCTACTTTCTTCCAATTGTTGCTTTCAAGTTTTTTAACATCTTGGGCTACGCTATCTGCCCATCTCAGTTTGGGCATACCAACTTTCTGGGTTCCATAAAGTTGTTTAGCTGGGTCTGAATCCTCTAACCTGGTCACATGCCCTGTCCATCTAATCCGTCCCACTTTAATATGTGAGACCAAATCCTGGTTTCCATACAGTCTGTATAACTCATTATTATACATTCTTCTCCAAAACGTGCAGTTTGGACATCGATGTATATGAACCTATGTGCAAGTTTAGTACGTCTAACTAACAAAAGTGCGGCAGTTAATGATGTTCGCACTTGTTGATTATTAAACGATGACTAGCTATCCACCATTAGTACAGTCCTGTCACCTGCATTTTGACAGTAGCAATATATGTACTATTCTCGTAGTTGTTGTAACCCCATTTTACTAGAGTTTGATTCCGATGGTAAACGTTACAACTTGCAAACCCACCGGGACAGTGGCGAGGCCTACTCGTTAGTATACCAGATGATTCAAAAAGGACTTTACAACTTTGAAAGTGTATAGAAAGTTGTAAAGTTTGAATCACTCTGTATATGTATATAAGTACGTATACAATGTATTTATAGTAAATATGTGTATCAATATACAAAAATCAACAAATATTAACTCACCCGCAATATTTTTTTCTTATATACTCTTCTCCTTGAAGTTGGCAGAGTTCTTCCCAGGATTTTGTTTTCTCTGTCTTGTTGCTGTATAATTCAGACCGCATATCCCAGATAGCTGGACGGGTCTCAATTCCATGGATGAATAATTCAGTATCGAATGTCTCCATGGCGTACATGTACACTCCGGTAACGCGCAGTACGGCAACTGGCCTGCCGGCTGCGGTGAGGTAGTGGGTGGGGGGATTATTTCTTCTGACGCATCTCCATCTCGATCAGTATTTGGTTGTCGATCAGGATTGGCGTGGCGGACGCGAGTGGCTGTGTTTGCGCGGGATAAACGGTGGTCGAACGCAGCCACAAGCAGCGAGACACGGCCACTACCGTAGCGTGTGGCCCGGACGGGCTGTGTCTGCGCTGAGTCTATTAAAACTGCATACAAAATACATACCGCAGCTTGTGGCAGCCACCGGTGGCGGTGGCTAGTGGCTCCGTTTGCGCCC